CTCCAGTCCTCCCCACTCTCCCCGCTTCTGGTATTTCTGGACCACATTGAACAATCCTTGGTTTCTAGAAGCATCCAACACTCTCACTATCATCTTCACGTAACTTTCCCCCTGTGTGTCTGTGTCCCAGTTTCTTCTGTTTAATAAGGTGTCAACAAATGGATGCAAAACAAGAAGGAAAACAAGACTTCTCAGGAATGCAATTTAGGGTAGTATAAAGTCAATAAAGTGTACACTTTCTTTATTTTTTCTTTTTGGGTCACTCCCAGCGATGCACAGGGATTACTCCTGGCTCATGCACTCAGGAATTACTCCTGGTGGTGACCAGGGGACCATATGGGATGCTGGGAATAGAACCTGGGTTGGCCACGTGTAAGGCAAATGTCTAATCCCCTATGCTATCACTCCAGCCCCACGTGCACCTCCTTTGGGGGGCTGGGAGCTTCTAGAGTTCCTGTCGGATATAACAGGCAGTTTCACTTTCGATATGCCAGACACAGTAACAACAAAGTCTCCAATGGAGACGTTACTGGGCCCGCTCGGACCTTTTTTTCATACAATTACATGCACAGTAGTGGTAAGAAATTATGGTCTTTGTAAGGGAGCAAGAAATGTGAAGTGGATCAAGGAAAGCCTCTTTAACAAACTGTGCTGGCAAAACTAGACAGCTACATGCAAAAAAATGGACTCAGATCTCTATCTAACACTATGTACAAAAGTAAGATCAAAATGGATTAAAGACCTCAACATCAGACCGGACTCCATAAGGTGCATTGAAGTCAAGGTTGGCAAAGCCTTCCACCACATTGAAGCTAATGGTATCTTCAAAGATGACAAACCACTGGTCAAGCAAGTGAAAACAGAGATAGACAAATGGGACTATCTTAAACTAAGAAGCTTCTGTACCTCAAAAGAAACAGTGACCAAAACACAAAGACAGTACAGAATGGGAAAGGATATTCACCCAATACCCATCCAATAAGGGGTTGATATCAAGGTTATACAAAGCACTAGTTGAACTCCACAAGAAGAAAACATCCAACCCCATCAAAAAAAAAGGTTGACAAAATGAACAGAAACTTTCTCAAAGAAAAAATCCAAATGGCTAAAAGGCACATGAGGAAATGCTCTACATCACTAATCATCAGGGAGATACAGATCAAAACAACAATGAGATATCATCTCACACCACAGAGACTGGTCCACATCCAAAAGAACAAAAGCAACCGGTGTTGGCATGGATGTGGCAAGAAAGGGACCCTCCTTCACTGCTGGTGGGAATGCCGACTGGTTCAGCCCTTTTGGAAAACAGTATGGATGATTCTCAAAAAATTAGAAATTGAGCTCCCATTTTACCCAGAAATACCACTCCTGGGAATATATCCCAGAGAGGCAAAAAAAAAGTACAGTAGGAATGACATCTGCACTTGTATGTGCATTGCTGCACTATTCTCAATAGCCAAAATTTGGAAAAATACCCGAATGCCGAATAACAGATGACTGGTTAAAGAAACTTTGGTACATCTACACAATGGAATACTATGTAGCTGTTAGAAAAGATGAAGTCATGAAATTTACATACAAGTGGTACTACATGGAAAGTATTGTGCTAAGTGAAATGAGCCAGAAAGAGAGGGACAGACTCATCTGGGGAATATAAAGTAACAGAATGGGAGATGAACACCCAAGAATAGTTGAGATAAGTACCAGGAGGTCTGCTCCATGGCTTGGAAGCTGGCAGCACATGCTGGGGGGAAAGGCAGCTCAGATAGAGAAGGAAACACCAAGTAAAGGAAGTTTGGAGGACTCGCCCGGGATGCAAGGTGAGTGCTGAAAGTAGACTATAGACCAAACACAATGGCCACTCAATACCTCTACTGCAAACCACAACACCTAAAGGAAAGAGAGAGCAAAAGGGAATGCTCTGTCACAAAGGCGGGGTGGGGTAGGGGGATGGGGGAATAGGAGGGCTACTGAGATCATTGGTGGTGGAGAATGGGCACTGGTGGAGGGATGGGTACTCAATCATTGTATAACTGAAACCCAGGCATGAAAATTTGTAAGTCTACAACTGTACCTCATGGTGTTCCACTAATAAAAAAAAAAGAAATTATGGTCTTTGGCTCAGTCTCTCTCAGTTGTTACCCAAACTCATAGCCCAGAGTTCTTTTTTGTTATTGTTATTTTTTAATTGTAGCTTATTACAACAAAATTATTTCTTGAATATAAATATATTTTTCATGAACGCAATTTTTTTAAATTTTTGGTATCTAGAAAACAAAATGTGAATTTTTAAATTTCAGAAGACTCTGTCTAATGGCTTTCCCCCACCAAAATATCAAGCACTTTAAAAATGATCTTTTTATTTCAATTTTTATTAATGAAACACCATGAGGTACAGTTGTAGACTTACAAATTTTTGTGCTTGGCTTTCAGTTATACAATGATTGAGTACCCATCCCTCCACCAGTGCCCACTCCCCACCTCCAATTCTCCCGGCATCCCTCCCACTCCCCCAACCTCCATCCCACCCCACCCCTGTGGCAGGGCATTCCCTTCTGTTCTCTCTCTCCTTTTGGGTGCTGTGATTTGCAAAAGAGGCAGTGAGAGGCAATGTTCGGTCTATAGTCTACTTTGAGCATGCATCTCTCATCCTGGGAGGATCCTCCCAACACCCTTTACTTGGTGCTCCCCTTTCTATCTGAGCTGTCTTCTCCCCCAGCATGTGCGGCTGGCCAAAAATGATCTTCAGTTCAAAAACATGTAATCATAAAAAGTCACTATAATTGCTAGTATTTTTTATTATTTTACTACTTAGTATTTTTTCGTTTTCTTTTTTAACTTTTTATTAGTGAATCACCATGAGGCCGGCTTCCAAGCCGTGGAGCAAACCTCCTGGTACTTATCTCTACTTTTCTTGGGTGTTAGTCTCCCATTCTATTACTTTATATTCCAAAGATGAGTGCAATTTTTCTATGTCTGTCCCGCTCTTTCTGACTCATTTCACTTAACATGTTACTTTCCTATTGATCCACTTATATGCAAATTTCATGGCTTCATCTTTTCTAACAGCTGCACAGTATTCCATTGTGTAGATGCACCAAAATTTCTTTAACCAGTCATCTGTTCTTGACAGCCCAGAGTTCTTTCTCTGTGGTGGTAGCTATCACAGTCTAGGGGCGTCATTTCTGGGTAAGCAGGTGTGCAAGTTACAGTTCCTTAGAGGTCTTTCAGTTTCCATTTCTATTTCCTCCATAACTCCCTTTTGTTGTGTTTCCATTTCTCAGTCCTGTAGGATTAAGGCCCACCCTGATGACCTCATCAGGCTTTTTTTTTTTTCTCAAAGACCCTGTTTCCAAATAAGAGTTCCTGGAGTTAAGGGCCTCAACAGAGGAACTGGCTGAGGGACACAACCAAACTCACACCACAGACCCAGCCCCTGACGGAAATGGGCACTTCTGTGAAGGCTGCCTGAGGCAGTTGGTCAGCACAGGTGAGGTCCTGCTGCAGTCTGGCATAAGCATCTTCCAACAGTGGCAGGTGGTTCCTCCCTCACACTAGGGCCACAGCAGGGTTTGAAGAAGGTTCCAGGTCAGGCCACTGAATGGATCTGTGACTCAGAATCTGAAGCAGCTTCTACCTAAAACCTCTAGGAACAAAGGAAGTCTGGGTTATTCCACCCTTGTCTCCATGTTTCCAAGGTGGTGACCCCTTGTCATGGACCTTCATTTCTAAGGGTTGGAGAGGCAGGGAGCGTAGAGCACAAACCAAACTGTTTATGAGCACCCTGGCCTCTGCAATCCAAAAGCTGCTTTGGTGGACAACATTGGGTGTTTATTTAAGTGCTGGAAGCTAATTCAAAACACACAGAGGATATTTGCTTTGGAAATTAAAGCTGGAGTCACTGTGTCCCCGGAGGTTCCTAGAGAAAGAGAAGTCAGTCAGAAAGAAAAGCTGAACTTCCTCAATGTTTTCTCTGAACAGGTGGGGACTGGGGAGAGGTAGGAAGTAGCCTGGGAAAGTCCCTAGCTTTTTCCAGGTATAGAACTAATTTGAGAAAAGGAGAAGGCAAGGTCACTGGATTCCCTCTCTTCTCAAAGGCCATGTTCACAAAGAAGAAAACTCCTCAGTCAACAGTTCTTTGACCAGGATAGACATAGAAAGATTGCGTTCATCTGGGGAACATAAAGTAACAAAATAGGAGACTAACACCCAAGAATGGCCGAGATTAGTACCAGGAATTTTACTCCATGGCTTGGAGGCCAATCACACATGCTAGGGGAAAAGGGAGCTCAGATAGAGAAGGGAACACCAAATAAAGGTGTTGGGAGAATCCTCCCAGGATGGGAGAAGCATGCTGAAAGTAGACTATAGACCAAACGTGATTGTCACCCATTGCCTCTTTTGCAAACCACAACACCCAATAAGAGAGAGAGAACAAAAGGGAATGCCCTGCCACAGAGACAGGGTGGGATGGCTGGGATGGGGGGGTGGGAGGGATACTGGGATCCGTGGTGGTGGGAAATGGGCACTGGTGGAGGGATGGGTATTTGATCATTGCATAATTGAAACCCAAGCACAAAAATTTGTAAGTCTGCAACTGTACCTCATGATGTCTCACTAATAAAAATTAAAAAAAAAAGTTCTTTGACCATGTGAGCACAGAACACACTGTCCCAACTCCTCCTGGAAGTGGTTGTGGGGAGGTGACAAGCAGACACACCCCACACCTGCTGTGGAAATTACTCAGGCAGTAAATTGGGAGGGATTACAACACAATCTCAAATGCTGGCAACAGCTAACGGCACTGGAGGCTTTTCCAACTCTAACTCTGTCCGGAAGTCGAAGAGGGGAAGGAAGGGGAATACCCGGGAACATGGGCAAGCAATGGATCCATCCACTTGCCAAACCCACACCCACCTTTGGAAACTCCAGCAACTACCGGCTGTGGAAAGTAGCTGAATTTAAGGGAGCAGGAGTCCAGAACAACGATGGCCGTGGTTGGAGGCAGCAGGGTCAGGATCCTCTGAAAGCTAAATACCAGGTATTCGCTGCCTGTGGGATTTCTTACCCCTTGGCTGGACTTGGGAATAGCTGTGCTGGTCTGGATGTGCAGGTATGTGTGTGAGTGTGTGTGTGTGTGTGTGTGTGTGTGTGTGTGCCTGCTCAGTGAAAGTTAACAGAAGAAAACACACCTGTGATTTGGTGTGTAGAAGAGGGTATATGTGGACAATGCTGCATGGGCCAGCAACAGCATCTGCACTAGATGGTGACTTAAGTGTGTGTGCGGGTGCTGTGCATATACAGGTATATGTACATGCAGACATGTGTGTTTGCCAGCATGTATACATATGTGCAGTCGTTTGTGTTCTATGTGGGATAGGTAGTCTTAAAACAGAAGATACTGTATAAAACAGAGCATAAAAATATATATTTTCATACTGTATAAAACTGAGAAAAATAAGAGTGATCAGTGTCCACGCATGGTATTCTAGACCAGGACTCCAGGGTGGAACCATGAGCTCTGTGTAGGGAGATAGCCAACCTGGACCATGGGGATCTGCCAGTTCATCAGTGACCCAGCCCTCCAGAGGTCTCTGTCTGACAGGAACACTGGTACATCTCACTGGGGTGTCCTGTGGGGAGCTGCCTGGTTCTCAGCCTGCATGTGTGTGAAATGCCTAGCTCAGGGGGACTCTGTGTGCATGCTGGTGTCCTCTACCCCATGCTGGGGCTGTGGACTCCAGTGTCTAAAGGGTGTGGTGAGGGAGCAGGAGAGCAGCGGCCAGAGCAGAAGCAGCCCCACCTGGAAGGAGAGTCCTGGCCAATTGGTGTGTTTCCCTTCACAGAGCTCCCAGCATGAAGACCCTCCTGCTGTTGGCATTGATCCTGGCTTTTGGTAAGAGCAGATCTGGGTCTCTAGTAAAGAGGGGAGAGCCTGGGGGAGGGGGATGATGGGGGAAGAATACTCAGCCTCAGTTTCTCTGTCCACTGCATCAGACCCTCCCTGAGAAGAAGAAAGAGTGACCGTGGGAGGGGAGCAGCAGAGAGAGGCTGAGAGGGAGGACGGAGGTGCATTGGCACCAACCACAGCAATATTTTCTAGGCCTGCTGCAGACCCACGGCGCTTTGTGGAATTTTGGAAAAATGATTGCGAAAGTCACAGGAAAGAACCCGATCACCGATTACAGCTTCTATGGCTGCTACTGTGGCTATGGAGGCAAAGGATCTCCCAAGGATGCAACAGACCGGTGAGGCCACCCCAGCCCTTCCTCCCCTCTATAGATTTGTGACCGCAACCGGACTGGGGTGGGAGTTGAGGGCTCAAGAATAATGCTGTTCCCCCTAGACACAGGACAACTCACATGAAAAGAAGCAGGCATGTTGGGAACTCGGCTCTAGTATATTCTGAAATCATGAGTCTGCCTGTACTCAAAAGTGGTACCAGGGTGTCTGGATTTGCAGGGAGCCAGCACCAATGGGGTTTTCCTGTTGCAGGTGCTGTTTTGCGCATGACTGTTGCTACCGCCGTCTGATGAAAAAGGGGTGTGGAACTAAAGGTCTGAACTACGATGTTACTTACAGTGGAAGCCAAATCATCTGTGGTAAGCAAGATGTCTTACACCCAGTCTGTCTATGTGGTCATGGTAATGGGTGATGGGTGATGGCAATGACACTGCGTTACAGGGGACAGTGGCCCAGTGCCTGTGCTCCTGGCTCAGTGGGAAGAGAAGACAATGAAAAGACATCATAGTGAAGAGTCTCACACAAAATAAGGGAGAAGGAGGTGTCCTTCACACAGTCTGAGGGCCGCATGGGCTATGACTGGGGTGATGTCCCTGAGTCTTCCAGTCTGTGTCCGAGTCAGCGGATGAGGGACTGGCTTTCCCAGAGGAGCACAGAGCAGGCCCCAAGGGTCGTGAGGGAGTTGTCACAATTCAGTCACCACAGGCCCCTGACCACTGTACCCTCCCGGGGGCAGTCTCGGGGGGTGGGGGGAACCCTCACCTCAGAGGAGCAGCCTGGGTGGGTGGGAGCAACGTAAAGACTGAAGCAGGGGGACTGGAGAGAGGTGGCTGAAAGGAGGTATCCTGAGGGATTGCTGTGTCCCCACGCGAACACTGCGAGTACACTTGACAACAGGGCTCTCCCCCACCACCCTGAGCTCAGTCTGCTTAGACACTGCCCCCACCCTGACCTCTCCCCAGGGTTGTGGATCTTTTTTTTAAATTTTTATTAGTGAGACACCATGAGGTAGAGTTAAAGCACAAAATTTGTAGGTTGTGGATCTTTAGCCCTTTCAGTGACAGCAGCAGGATGTTCAGGGTCAGAGCTGGTGTGGGGCATTTCCCTCACAGAGCGGACATCAGGGAGAGGGCGGGGCAGTGGGCAGCTCCACCAACCAGCCTCACACCAAGGGCCAGGCTTCCCCCATTTCCACACCAATCTGCTTGCCACCTACCCACAATCCACCAAGGCACTATTGTAGCCTGTGGTGTAAGAAGAGATTTCCCTGCTCTTCCATCTCTCTAACAGAGGGCATTATCTCTTCCCAGAAACCTTCACAGGCCTCCCCTTGTGGCTCACTGTCCAGAGCAAGGACACATGTTCCCTAGAGACCAACCAGTGCAATTGGGGAAACCAAGTCATCACCCCATCACAACCCAGTGCCTCCCATTGGGCCTTGCTCTGGCCCTGGCATGTGTGTTTCCAGGAGACAGGTGCTGACCTCTCAGTTTCCAGGGCTGCTGTCTATCCCCAACACAGGGAATTCACTCCCATAGAGTACCAGGTCTGTGTCCAGTGACTCAGGGCCATCAGGATATAGGTGTTTGTCTCACTATGGAACCTTCAGGGGCAGCTCCGCAAGAAATCGTGGAATATTAACCACCTCTCACCTCTGTTCACTTTTTTATTTCAGCCAAACAGAGCTCGTGTAGAAAACAACTGTGTGAGTGTGATAAAAAGGCTGCCCTCTGCTTTAAGAATAACAAGAAAAGCTACAATGGGAAGTACCGATACTATAACAATAAGAAGTGTAGTGGGAAGGCCCCCAAATGCTGAAAACCTGTGGAAATCTGCCACAAGGTGCTGATTCCTTCTCTCACACTCCCTCTACAGACCCTTATTGAGTTGCCTGGAAATTTCAACTAAGTATAAATGATTTTGATATTTGAATAAAAAAAGAAGAGTTATATCATTGTTGTTTTTATTGGGGGTAAGGGGAACACACTGAGATTTTACTTCTTGCATTGCTCAGGGGACCTTTTAGTGCAAAGATCAAATTCCATCCTACTGAAAAGAAGGCAAAGCATGCCCTTAACCCAGTGAGCTCTCTCTGGCCCCAAAGGAAGAATTAACGTTTCCAGCTGCTCTGAGGAAGAATTCAGACAGTATATTTTTCAGCTTCTTCCCCATTTCAGCACAGGCTTTAGGTTTATATGTTTTTGACAAGTAGAATACCTTTGTTAATGGAGAATTGACCCAGGCAGTAGATTAGAAGACAGCATTTATCATTCGGTGGTTTCCGGGTCATTCCCAACGAGATCTGAGGTAGGAAGTATTCTAGGTGTGAACAAAATGCAATCCTTGAGATAAACATTTATCATTTATTAATATGATATTTAGATCACTTATTAGGGCATTTGCCTTGCACGCAGCCAACATGGCCGACCCGAGTTCGATTCCTCCGTCCCTCTCAGAGAGCCCGGCAAGCTACCGAGAGTATCTCGCCCGCATGGCAGAGCCTGGCAAGCTCCCCGTGACATATTCGATATGCCAAACACAGTAACAACAAAGTCTCCAATGGAGACGTTACTGGGCCCGCTCGAGCAAATTGATGAAAAACGGGAGGGCCTTTACCTTTACCTTTTATTAATAATTAATAAATTTATTAATATGATTTGCGTGTCATCCTTGCGCAGGGGCCATGCTAATCTTCTCTGTATCGTTCCAATAAAAATATGGAACGCTTCACGAATTTGGAGTCCCTTGGAGGGGAGCGGGTTGAGCTTTCCTCCCCGCCCCGGCCAGGGCTACGGCAGCCGGAGACCTCCAGGACCAGCCACCACCATGCTGAGACCACTCTCTGCACACCTGAAGGTACTGGCAGAGGGGCAAAGCCACGCGGGTTCCGGGGCCGAGACCTCCAAGCCTACTCGAATTGGAGTCGAGCATCTTCCACCCAGATCCTCCAAATTCCAGTAGGCGGGGGTAACACCCACCACCTGGCCCCCTGGCTCCGTGTAATCCCATCAGCGGCCAAGACTCAGAGACTTTAAAATCCAGAACCCGGACAAGAACAGTGCAGTCTCTGCCCCCGCGCCTGGGTGTTCCTTCCCGGAGTCCCTTGGAGGGGAGCGGGTTGAGCTTTCCTCCCCGCCCCGGCCAGGGCTACGGCAGCCGGAGACCTCCAGGACCAGCCACCACCATGCTGAGACCACTCTCTGCACACCTGAAGGTACTGGCAGAGGGACAAAGCCACGCGGGTTCCGGGACCGAGACCTCCAAGCCTACTCGAATTGGAGTCGAGCATCTTCCACCCAGATCCTCCAAATTCCAGTAGGCGGGGGTAACACCCACCACCTGGCCCCCTGGCGCCGTGTAATCCCATCAGCGGCCAAGACTCAGAGACTTTAAAATCCAGAACCCGGAACCGCGCGGCCGCATTCGCGGCTGCGCGACATCTTAACAGAACTTTTTTTTATGACATCTTATTGTCTTATTCCTACTTTGGACAGACTTGCAGGCTATTGAATGTAGCCTGCCCACAGGGCAGAGTCTGGCAAACTCCCCGTGGCGTACCAAATATGCCAAATACCAGTAACAATGATGGGTCTCATTCTCCTAAATAGCCTTGAATATAATCTCAGGGCAAGGATGAAAGAGACGTTACTGGGGCCTGCTCGAGGCAATCGACGAATAACAGGATGATGAAATGAAATGAAATGAAATGAAATGAAATGAAATGAATATGATTAGAGAATTTCAGGGCACCGTTGTAAGGTCCCTAACCTACCAGAATGGCTTCAACAAAAGGCTGGAGGGTGAATTAGAGGAGATTCCCTCAGTGCTTCCACACTCAAGAGGATGTTTTGTCCAAAGAAGAAAAGTTCCAGGGGAGTTCACTTCTGTGTAGAATTTTATTCCACCAGATGCAGAGCACCCCTCTCCTAGCCTGGCTACCTACGTTCTCACAGAGAAGCTCAAAGGTGGGCCCGAGTTTGACTCTTCCCCCTTCCTCGGGCAGGGATCTCGCTTCCAACTCCACCTTTTCAGCAGCAGCAGCCCCACCCTAGGGGGTGGCTCTGAATAAAGCAGCTCATTGAAAAACTGGGTGGCAGTGTGTGTGCCTGGGTGTACAGTCCCACAGTTATTGTGTGACGACAAATTGGTACCTGGCACTAGGGCGTAAGGGGCTAAACATATGGACTGTGTGAGACTCAATGCAAAGTCCCCAGCCCCCACTCTAACACTACCTCCTCATCTAAACGGAGGTGGCTTGGGTTCCACAGAGTCTTCTGTTGGGGACACTGGGAGGGGTAAAGGATGTGACCACAGCTGTGTTCATGAGTCGCTGTCATTATTATCACAAGGGAAAGCCAGAGTTTTTCCCCAACAAGAGCAGCTTTGGCTGGTCTTTGGGAAAATGGGAGCATAGCTCCTGATGCTTGGGGAAGCCATAAACCCTGTCTTCTGCGTCTCCTGTGTTGCCAGACTAGTGAAGGGGGTAGGGGTATGTGCAATGCTGAGTACCAGCTGACTCCTCAGGGGATCCCCTTACCCAGGGCCAGTTCTTGGACAAACCCCTCTGCAGACTCCAAGAGTATCTTCCTAGCTAATGCTTTATTACAACTGGAAATTTTTCTTTTTGTAGTTGTTTTTGTTTTTTAGGTTTTGTTTTGTTTTGTTTTGTTTTGAGTGAGGGTCACACCAGCAGTACTTAGAGATTTCTCCTGGTTTTGCACTCAATATCACTTCTAGTGGGCTCATATTTGTCCAAAGGGTCTGCCATATGTAAGACAAGCAACCTCCCACTGTACTATCACTCTGGCCTCGCCTCTGGAAATTCATAACTGTGTAAACACACAAAAAATAAAACGGCCGGCGGTCAGGCCGCTTCCCCACTCCAAGGAGGTCGATGGCGATGGTCAGGCGAAGGAAGGAAACGAGGCCAAGCTGGTTGGTCTTAGCAGCCGTTTATTACATGGAAGAGATGTATGTCATGGAGGCCTCAGGAATCCTCAAGCACGTGCGCCTTTGTTCTCCCAGCTTCTGTCCTCAGCCCCATCTTCCCAGGTTCTCTGATGCACGTGTCCCCCCAGAGAGCCCTGAAATCTCCCTTATATAGATCATAGTACCTCTATAGGGCGCAATATAATGATGTCATCAAAAGGAGTTACAGAAAGAACATTGAGGCGGCAAACATACATTGTTTCCTTACATCTGCAGGCCAGCAATCCTGGCCTCACCTTTTCACAAGCTACAAGCACTTAGATTAGAACAACAAAGACCAGTCTGCTAGAGCTTGGAATCTACATCTCCAAAAAAGCAGTCTCATCCAAGCTAGTCAGGACACACAGGAAACTGCTTCTAGGACGTGTTTCTCCTTTCCTTGTCCAACCAACATATAAGCATACATAATATTAATCATTTCGTATGGACACAGTAAGAAATACTTTGAGCTTATAGAATTGCTCTCCTAGGGCCATCTCTATCTCAGACTGCAGTGCTCAGGCCAGATATCTTTCCTATTCCTAGCAGCAGATCCCTAGTCTCGTTGTTACTTTTGGATCATGACAGCATTTGCCTATGATCAAACTCTTAACTTATAGCTAAGAATTGTGGCACCTTGGCCTGGCCCATCACGATGCCAGGGTAGCACATAACTTACCGGCTTGCCCTGGTTCCATCCAGTCCCACATCGGGACCCTGCCCTTGGGGTGCTAGGAAGTGAGGGCAACTGAGGCTTAAGTTGAGAAGGCAGATGCCCAGGAGTGAATAATATACTAAGCCAATCAATTCCTAAGTTACCGAGCATATTAATTAATTGTCTTCCTGTATCTATACAAAAGGCCATTGCATTAAAGTAAACTGCTCAAAGACATAAGGAGAGGAGAAAGGCAATATTAACTTACAGTACAGCTTCAGTGTCTAAGAAGGATGAGACCTTACAAATTGGTTGGGGAAGAGAGCATAGAAGTGGTTACAGAGAGACAAAGTAATGGGAGTGACTCGGGAGCACTGTGATGGGTACAATATGATAAACCTAAGCTCCGTGTACTCCAACACATAACAGCAAGAGATCCTGCATTCATTTTGACACTAGGACCTGCCAGTTATGCAGCACGTCTTAGCCAACCTGAGTATTACTCCTGTTCCTGTCATCCAGGGTTGTGCTAGGACTGTCCTATCTGCTTCAGCCCCAGCCACATCTGATATTTCAGAGCCAGAGGCAGCACTACTGGGTATGACTCCCCATACAAAGCACCATGCTTATGGGCTTTAGCCCTTGCACAATCCAGCGAACTCTGCATGTATCATTGTTCCTGGCTTTCTGTGAATGTTTGAGGTAGGGATGCTATTTTCTAGTTCTGAGCAAAGAGGCTTCAGCTATTAGCACCAGCCCTGATCATGTTCCCTCTCATATTTGATAAGAAAAATGTAAATTAATCTCCACTGGGGTGCCATTTTTACATAGATAATATGGTGAAATCCAAAAACATGATACTTGCCTTTTCGCAAGACTATACGGGAACTTCAGCTGGCCCGTAAGAAGTCAATGGGTGAGTTGTGCTCACAGATACACAAATTGGTGTATTGATCAAACTCTCTGTGTGTTTATCTTTTTTGTTTGTTTTGGGCCACACCCAGTGGTACTCAGGTCTTACTTCTAGCTCTGCACTTAGGATCATTCCTGATGGTGCTTGGGAGACCATATGAGGGTCTGAAGTTGAATCTGGGTGGGGTGCGTGCAAGGGAAATTCCCTACCTGCTGTACTATTGCTCCAGCCCCCTCATTTATCTTTTGTCTCGGTCCCTCACCTCTGAAATTTTAACTGCAAATGAACACAGACGCAATGTGTATGTCAGAGGAGTGGGGGACAGAACAGGACTTTATCACTATCTGAGTGACTGCAATGGAGCAGGTTCCTGGGGGATACCGCCAACCACACTTCTGAAGCTGGTCTCATTGGAATGGAGAGCTGAGATGTGTACCCCCAAGGTTGGTCCTGGTTGGTTTCTCTGAACAGATCAGATTCTAGGACCTGATTTTGCACAGGGAAAGATTAGATGCAGAAGGCCAAGAAACCTTTTGTCCATTCTGGAGATATCTAAGTGGGACAAGGACTTTGAGAAAGAGTTTAACTGTCTTTATATACTAGTCCTAACCCCTCCCTACACTTTCTATCTATAGATATTTAAAGAGATGAAGTGAAAATGTATGTCCATATAGATATTTATGTGAGGATACTCAGAGCAGTTTTATTCATGGTTTTCCCAAATGGAGTCAGTTTAAATATTCATTTGCGGGAAATGGAAAACAAATTGTTCTATAGTCACAGTGTGGGACCCTCAGTAATTTTCTTAATTTGGGGTTTTTGGGAAATACCCGGTGATGTTCAGGGGTTACTCCTGTCTATGCACTCAGGAATTATCCCTGGCATTGCTCGGGGCATTGAACCCGGGTCAGTCTTGTGCAAGGCAAATATCCTACCTGTTATCATTCTGACCTCTGACTCTCAGGGTATTTTAAGTAATCAAACCACAAACAAAATAAATAAACACTGTCCTCCCATTGTTCATCGATTTGCTCGAGCAGGACCAGTAATGTCTCCATTTTGAGACTTGTTGTTAATGTGTTTGGCATATCGAATACGTCACAAGTAGCTTGCCAGGCTTTTCCGTGCGGGCGAGATACTCTCAGTAGCTTGCCCAGCTCTCCAAGAGGGGCGGAAGAATCAAACCCAGCTCGGCCGGGCTGGCTGC